ACTTCTCTGAAACTTGGTGGTTTCAAACAACGGGGGGTTTCCATTTTCTCTAAATCTTTCAATTCTGCTCTCCATTTTTCACAACGAGGGCGAATCTCTTCCGACACAAGCTCATCCCAATCCGCCTTTTGTTGAACTAGTTCTCTTAAGATCAGTTTTCCAGTGAGAATCACTGGACATACGATTCCCAATGGGTCGTAAACGAAACTGACTGTACTCAAAATCCCGCGGCGTGTAAAGGGTTTGTCCTTTAACGTTATTCTAAATTGGAATGTGTCCGACTCTATACACCAATACGTCCCTAGCGATCGTTGAATCGGGAGGGTATCGTGACGTAGATCGAGGTCTTTTATCTCCTTGGCGCGGTCCTTGGCTGGATCGTGAAGGCAAAGTCCCGCTTTTACACACATTGCTTGCAATTTCGTGATAAGATTGACGGCATCTTCTGTTGTCTTAACTGATTTTAAACCATCATCGGAAACCTCTTCTCGGAATTCACTTTCGCCGTCTTGCGCTGTTTTGCGAAGACCAAAGTTTGCACATCCTGGGCTGGATAGTGCTCCGAACAGATGCACGTTCATACGATACGTTACGATGGGCTTAGTCATGTTACCTTCTTGAAACCACAAAAAACAAAGGTAATCTCTGTGCTCTTCAGCTACCATAAAATTATGGAACATCTGCTCTATGTCACACGTCATAGCGATTTCTTCCTGTCAAAATCTATTGAGCACTCCTGTAAGCTTATTCATCAGATCTGGTCCTTGAAGGTGTTTATTGAGGCTTTCTTGTTGAAACGTATCGCTGCAGTCAAAAACAACTCGGATTTGATCTGGTTTCTGGTGGTGGTAGATTGGAAAGTGAGGAAGGTACCATGTTCGTCTTGGCTGGGATTTGTATAAAGGGTGATCAAGGCCAAAATTAATCACTTCAGTTATGCAATTCCGATAATACGCTTACCAGTCCAGCATCGTAATCATCACATTTACATATAATGTTATGCAGTTGGTTTGTTTTATTACGCCGTTCTGTTGTGCAGTCCATGATCCTATTTACGCAGTTTAAAGAAAGCGTTATGCAGTTGAGATGTTTTATTACGCCATTCTGTTGTGCAGTTGGGCACTTTAGATGCGCCATGCGCCTGCGATTCAATGCACGCATCTGCAGTACTTCATTACTTCAAGTTACACAAGCGACGTTGCACAATGAATGAATTGCCAATATGGCCGACAAATCAGACAAACGAAGAGTTTTGAGCGAAGCAGCAGAATTGTTAACGAAGGCAGCAGTATTGCTGACAGAAACAGGAAATACAGTTTCCGAAAAAGAAAATGTTCAATCTAATCCGCAATCATCCGAAAGAAGTAACAATGTGCCCCAGCAGAGTTCAAAGGGTAGTACTTTGACTATTTCCTCAAATTCGTCGACTCCTACTCCAAATGTCTCCTTGGAAAACAGAGCAATGCAAAATTTTCGGAATTTGTTTGGTGGACTTGGTGAAAAAAAGATTGTAATGAATAATAAATTAAGTGCCTCTGCTGTATTATCAGAATTGGTAAAAGAATACCCTAAGCTTGCAGAGGGTGGTGGTTTTGAATTACTTAGGTCTGGAAATCAGCTCCGAGATCTTGTTTTAATCACACCGCCACCTGGTGGATATTCGGTGCCTTTTTTGAAGAACTCTGGTATTGGGCAATCCATCATTTATATTCGCCCTATTCAGACAAATCTAAATATGGATCCTGTTGAGATGGATGAAACTGATGTGGAAATGGTTTGTGGACTAGAATATATATTTAATATGTTTTCAAATATTTAGTTTTTAAGATTTTTGAAAATGATTGTTTAATTAGTTCAACATCTTATTTCAAGTACTTTTATTTTCTACGAACACTGATCATCCTGCACAACTGGTCACTGACAATTGCAAAACCAGTTTGTTGTGCAGTTGGCCATTTTAGTTATGTCAGTGGAAAGTGATAAATTAGACATATGTTTTTAACATTTTTGTTTAAGCATTGAAAGTAATATGAATTATCGTAGATGTTTTGTGCTCTTGGAGAAGAAACACTTAAAACAATTTAGAATATACTGTATTTGAAGAGATTAAGTCTGTGACCTACTACCTTATAAGTTTTACTAAAACCATTGATATTTTACTGCTTTGCAAGTAAAATTTTTCATGAAAACTTGTAAAAAGTAAAATTATTTTTTAGTATAATTACTGCATAAACAGAATAAAGGTTTATTTTAGTATTTATATCCACATTATAATTGTTAGACTGATGCCACTGATGGACCAACTACTGAGCGCATTAATTGCAAACAAGAAACTCAAATGTCAAAAATCATTTTGAAATATGTGGTGGTGGTTCATCACAACAAACAACTATAAATGAAAGGTTTGTAACAATTGAAAAAGTAAAGTAAAATCAATTTATTGTTTTTCACAAAAAATACAAAAAATTAAGAATTATAACACAGCAAAAAGATAAGGTAAACTGTTTATGCATCAGGCTTATTTTAATTGTTTCTTATACCATGCTATTTCATGATTTTTTCATTAGGCAATCTGATATTAGGGATTATGCCAGTACTGTTGATAGAGATAAGTTGCCCTCAGCAGTTGATATTGTGATATCCACAAGATAGGAATAGTTCAGTATTTATTGTGTAAAAAAATTAATGGTTTCTTCACTTTGTTCAAAAAGTTTGCTGTACATGTGCAAAAAATTATAATACAGTGAGGGATCATAATAGTTTCAAAATAATTCACAAAAAGAATGCTTTATTTTTTAATTATTTACATACTTACACAAAGGGATTTACTTTTGCTGAAACCCAGGGTAAGTGATTTAATGGCAAACATGAATAAGTCCATCCACCAACTGAGTAAACTAGATACAGTACTGACTACTGCTAAAATGAGGTAATGTATGAACACAACCAATAATTTAAATGCAGATAAGGTATTTGCATGTATCTGACTTACCATAAGACAATACTGTGCTCTTAAGCTACCATAAAATTATGGAACATCTGCTCTATGTCGCACATCACAGCGATTTCTTCCTGTCGAAATCTATTGAGCACTCCTGTAAGCTTATTCATCAGATCTGGTCCTTGAAGGAGGTGTTTACTGAGGCTTTCTTGTTGGTAATGCGTACAATTTGCAGCTTTTTTGTGGTTCAATTGGCCACCTTGTTCCACTATATGGCGTCGACGCAGTTGCCTCAGGATGCTTTGAAATGGCCAGTAAATTGGTAGCCCATAGTATTTTCCATAACTGTCATGGTTTGATCGGCCTTGCAGAAGCTGTCAAGTGTTATATTATATCAGGTTCTTATAGTTATAGTTAACTACTTAGCCGAGTTGACACAGCCAGAAACGCCACAGGCACACACTTTTGCGAGTTGTCAACCAGTTGCAACAAGGTTGGTACTTGGTAATTTCATTATGTTGCGGCAGGCCTGCAAAAATCAGCCAGGTTGAAACTTGTTACATACAATTACAAAGTTGATGCAACTTTGGTAAAACAATTTAGAAAAATGAATGAATGTATTTAATATATATGAACAAATCTCAGTAGAACAGATAATTCTTAGAAGAGTTTTATATCTGTATATTTTTAATGTGCGTAGATTATTGGTGAAAACGATATTAGTGCAGCAACCCCTGAGGAGATTGATAAAGTGGAAGAAGTTATGGTCAGACATGGTCTAACCGATATCCCGCTAACCAATTTAAACAAGGACAAAGCTGTTCGTGATTTGCTAGTGGCGGACATTGTTCTGACCAGATTTCATGCGCTGGACAAATTCGTCAGAGGACTAAACGCTACTGGAATTGGTTCCCTTTTAAGACAGTACCCTGAGCTGGTAAAAACAATCCTACCTAGTCCTGTCGATGTGGACGTTGACATTGAGCTGGTTAAAGTGCCCATGTCATAAAATTGGAATTTATCTCATTAGAATCGCGGTGAAACATAGATTACGAAAATAGTAATCACATTTGAAATTGAGTTTGTTTTCGCGGAGAAATAAAGCGATAAAGTTTGAAAATTTCAAATTTTAACGGCAAAAGTTTTTGAAATCCGCGACAGTCGGAAACTGGTAACTAACACGTCACAATAGGAACTCGCATATTGCGCCTTTAGATAAATAATAGTATGTAGTACAAGAGAAGCGATTTCATGCCAGCTAAATTCGGTTATTAAACGTGGCAGAAATATGTCTTCATCAAGTTTAGCTATTGAGAAGTTACCAAAGGAATGACACCGATCAGAATGTTTTCCTGCCAATGCAATGCCAAAAAAAAAAGTTAAGACCATGAACGCGGCTCAATGTCAGCCTTGTCAGGCAGTAAGAACACTTCGGACCATACATTAACGAACCAGATGCCGATGATAAGAAACTTATGATTGAGGTTTTCCTGTGGCTCATGAGTGCCGGTATTTCTACAATGTGTTTATGTGTAGTTAAGTCACACATGCCTGTGTGATTCTCTGGTTTATTTTCATTACAAATCAACTGAGCTAGAGTATGAGTGGAGTTTCCATGCGCTTTCAAAAAAAATAGTTCAATGAGAGACTTAGAGTTATCAATATTAACTGAGAAATCTAACACGTCTCGCGCAAAAGAAATATATCAAATCATGTGCATATAAATATAACCCAGTACATTTCGCTTTTATTATGGCATCTTTTTTACCAACATTCTTTAGCTGTCTTTACTAAAATGTGCGCACTCGCATCTTTTGAGACGTTATTTACTTCGGTAAATCCTTTTTCTGTTAACTCTGCCTAACGTGTTTACAACACAGTGACTCAATTGGTCATGACTCATGGCGTATTTGCAATTATTGCACGACTGTTGCTAGGAACGTACAATTATTAAAGCCATTTCACAACACATTTTGATAATATATGAGTCACTTTATACAGAATTGTCTGTTAAGTAAGAACAATCACTTTTTTGTGCAGTTAGCCTCTACTTATTACTCTATGCAATAGAGTTACTAAATTGTCGCGTCGAACGAGTTCCTATTGTGACGTCAACACCTTGTTTCGCACCAGTCTCATTTGCGCGGTTTTCAGAGTTTTCATTCCACTAAAATCAATGTTTAGATGGCAATAACTCGAAAAATAAAAATCCAATTTCAGTTTTGATTTAGAACTTACTAACTCATTTCAAACAAAGATTCTAAAAATCTAAATTCCAATTTTATGACATGGGCACTTTAAAAGGAATTTTCATGTCGATGATGAAGTGGATACAGAAGGGAAAAAAAATGCACGTGAATGGTTCTTTAAATTTCTGGATGAGTGTCCTAGCATTTTGTGTAAGTACTGATCGTTATACAGGATAAACTTCAATGAGGGATTACTCATTCACGAAATGCTTACAGAATTGTGCCATGTCATACTTAACAATGGTGTAGAAACCTTTTTATAAACATTAAATGATCAGAGGATAAGTCTATATAGTATAAGTATCAAGCCCATTCAGCTCAAGCATTGGATAATAAAAATATCCTTGTATATTGAACTTAACCACAGTTTAAGCTAAACGGGTTTGATACAACCGGCCCTTGATCGTTGCTTAATATTTATTGTAAAATTACACTAACCTCTTCTATTTTGATGTAGCTGATGTTGATGAAAGGCCACTTTTAAACTGCCTTATGATGTTTATGAGTGCATATTGTGTGGTGCCAAATCATGAAGAATTCCACATCACTTTTGATAGTGAAAGTAAAAATGAGCTTTTGGAGGCTGACAGCTGTTTTAATCGTGTTCTTCTGCCAGTGATACATGAAAGCTATGAGTCGTTCAGGAAGGCTTGCATAACATCTGTGAACTTTGGAGCAGAAGGTTATGGTAAATTCTGACTAATACTATGTACAAGGTGATTACAGAAGGACAACAGTCAATCACAATTTTTGTTTATATTCACATTATTGTTCTGCAAATAACTTGATATTAATAGGGGCAGCTCTTAGTAGAACTGTAGAAATAAAATTGTTCATATTTTTTCATCTCCCCATAGCTTTGTAAGAAACAAAATGGGGGAGGCACTGTCTTTGTCAATTTTCACTTTGTGCCTTTTTGGACAGTCGTACAACATGGTTCTTATTTTCAGTTTTTTTAGTTCAATACATATACTGTACATGTGTACCAAAATACATTTATCTACCTATTATAATTAACAGTACCCTTTATATCAACAATATTGTTTAAATGAATTATTTTGGTACAACGACTGTACATCGTAGTAAAATTTAAAATAAATATGAAAACATTTTCCTGTGAGAATGCTAATGCATGTCAAATTTTGTATTAAAGAAATAGCAGCAACTTTCAATTTAACTGCTTTTTTCCTCAACAAAAGATCGGACCATCAAATATAATTCCACACCATGGAAATTACTGTTACCTAATGGGTCTACAGTCTCTTTTAGCTCTGCTAATTGGGTTTCATTTATGGGACATACCACTTCAGAAACTGAGACGTGCCCTTGCTCAACATCTGGTGTAGGTCCATCCCAATCTATCCCATACCACTGTGCATTGTCCTAAGAAATAAATAACTGCATTGTTTACAAAGTGTATAATTTTTTAAGTATAGCATTAAAATTTTTTTATTGAAATCTAGGAAATTTGACAGTTCTATTTTCGTTAAAACATTTAAGCCCTTTCTCCAAACTACCAACAGGTCTTCGTGTAATACATCAAAGCGGTTCTGCAAAAGTGTATTATTCTGTATTGGGTATACTCTCACTAACAAAAGTCAGACATCACAATAAGAAGACACTTAGTATAGCAAAGAATATTATTCTGGATGCACCCAATGAATTTACTATAACACTGTAAATCTTTTGGTTTGTTAACCCCAGACTGTATAATGTAAATTGGTTAACAGTCCAAATGCTTTGAAATAATTAAAATTATGCACAAACAAATATATATTATGGTGTCATCACTATGCAAGCTACAAGAATCATATTGAAAATTACCTCTGTCTGTGGTTCGCTTTTATAAAACTCTCTAGCCACAGTGTGGTTGGAATTATGAATTCTTAATATTCCACTGATCCAAAGTTGTATGGGGGTCTTGTTCCTTTCAGTTGACAAGGGTTTACAATTCCAAGCTTGTTTGAAGAAAGATAACTGTTGGTTGATCCTTGGCAGGTACACATAGTGAAGACTAAATAAATCCACAGTCTCTGTCCCGTTTAAAAATGTTATAATTAGGTATGCAAACAACAGTATCCGGAATCTCTGCTTTGAGATGTGTTTCCGATACAAATCATGTCTACATCATTCCTTTTCATGTCCAACTCAATAGCCACAGCCGCTCTAACCCGGTTTTTAGTTTTTGCTAAGCTGCAAATATTCGTAAATAGGATTTTAGGCACAGCAAAATCTGAGGTTGAAATACGATTATTAGGCAACGCATTTCTGGCAATAGGGACCAGATTCTCTCTACATATACCTCTTAAAGGGCGACATGACATTCTACTACCAACACGATTCAGTATGGTGATTGACTGCGTTCCATTCGATACTTCACAGCGCCGCTTTCCTGCTCGTGATCCACGATATCTGAATAGTCTGAGTCCCTTTAAATCATCAATAATAACACAATCTGGTTTCGATTTCGTGGCTCTAAGATCAAACAGTTCCCTTCTACTATATTTAGTAGACTTCTTTGTGTAAACTACCTCGCAATTGCATTCTGCCCCTGGGTTGTTCTCACTATGTGGGCCCGGATTAGATTCAACATCCATACAAATACAAATATCCAGGCAGATCAAATGTTCCTTTGGTGCTATAATCAGGTGACCATGCCTCGTCCATATCGATATAGGCTTTCGTAGTAAACTTTGGCGTGAAACATGTCTTGAAAGTCGGACTCTATATACAGAATTATTATCCAAGAAAACGTACCCCACTTTATCATACGATTTGTGATTTAAACAATTTAGGTTAACTAAGATTAAGAAGAATATACTAAGACACAAAAAACCATGAGTGGCGGCCATGTTGGCGCCAGTGCAATGATGATATTAGAGAGTTTGCACCATGAAATCATATTCACGGCTGGCAGCCATATAACGTACGTCCGCTGTATGGTATATGGTGTATGAATGGTGATATTAGAGAGTTTGCACCATGAAATCATATTCACGGCTGGCAGCCGTATAACGTACGTCAGCTGTATTGTATATCGAGTATGAATGGTGCTATTAGAGAGTTTGCACCATGAAATCATATTCACGGGTGGCAGTCGTATAACGTACGTCCGCTGTATTGTATATGCTGGTTGAATGGTGATATTAGAGAGCTTGCAGCATGAAATCATATTCACAGCTGGCAGCCGTATAACGTACGTCCGCTGTATGGTATATGGTGTATGAATGGTGATATTAGAGAGTTTGCATAATGAGAATAATAATCACGGCTGGCAGCCGTATATCGTACGTCCGCTGTATGGTATATCGAGTATGAATGGTGATATTAGAGAGTTTGAAGCATGAAATCATATTCACGGCTGGCAGCCGTATAACGTACGTCTGCTGTATGATATATGTATGGTGCCTCATTTTATTTAAACCAAAGGTGATGGTGGTAAACACTCATGGTGTGGATGTGGAAAATTTCACCAATCATACTCCATATACCATACAGCGGACGTGCCTTATACGGCTGCCAGTCGTGAATATGATTTCATGGTGCAAAGTCTCTAATATCACCATTTATACACCATATACCATACAGCGGACATACGTTATATGGCTGCCAGCCGTGAATATGATTTCATGCTTCAAACTCTCTAATATCACCATTCAACCACCATATACCATACAGCAGACGTACGTTATACGGCTGCCAGCCGTGAATATGATTTCATGCTTCAAACTCTCTAATATCACCATTCACACACCACATACCATACATCGGACGTACCTTATACGGCTACCAGCTGTGAATATGATGATTTCATGGTGCAAACTCTCTAATATCATTATTTATACTCCATATACCATACAGCGGACGTATGTTATACGGCTGCCAGCCGTGAATATGATTTCATGGTGCAAACTCTCTAATATCACCATTCATAGACCATATACAATACAGGGGACGTATGTTATATGGCTGCCAGCCGTGAATATGATTTCATGGTGCAAACTCTCTAATATCACCATTCATAGACCATATACAATACAGCGGACGTACGTTATACGGCTGCCAGCCGTGAATATGGTTTCATGGTGCAAACTCTCTAATATCACCATTCACACACCACATACCATACAGCGGACGTACCTTATACGGCTACCAGCCGTGAATATGATTTCATGCTGCAAACTCTCTAATATCACCATTAGTGGATCACATACCATACAGCGGACGTACGTTATACGGCTACCAGCCGTGAATATGATTTCATGGTGCAGCCCTCTCTAATATCATCATTCAACCACCATATACCATACAGCGGACGTAAGTTATACGGCAGCCAGCTATGAATATGGTTTCATGGTGCAAACTCTCTAATATCACCATTCGCACACCATATACCATACAGCGGACGTACGTTATACGGCTACCAGCCGTGAATATGATTTCATGGTGCAAACTCTCTAATATCACCATTCAACCACCATATACCATACAGCAGACGTACATTATACGGCTGCCAGCCATGAATATGGTTTCATGGTGCAAACTCTCTAATATCACCATTCAACCACCATATATCATTCAGTGTACGTACGTTATACAGCTGCCAGCCGTGAATATGATTTCATGGTGCAAACTCTCTAATATCATTATTCATACTCCATATACCATACAGCGGACGTACGTTATACGGCTGCCAGCCGTGAATATGATTTCATGCTTCAAACTCTCTAATATCACCATTCAACCACCATATACCATACAGCAGACGTACGTTATACGGCTGCCAGCCGTGAATATGATTTCATGCTTCAAACTCTCTAATATCACCATTCACACACCACATACCATACATCGGACGTACCTTATACGGCTACCAGCCGTGAATATGATGATTTCATGGTGCAAACTCTCTAATATCATTATTTATACTCCATATACCATACAGCGGACGTATGTTATACGGCTGCCAGCCGTGAATATGATTTCATGGTGCAAACTCTCTAATATCACCATTCATAGACCATATACAATACAGGGGACGTATGTTATATGGCTGCCAGCCGTGAATATGATTTCATGGTGCAAACTCTCTAATATCACCATTCATAGACCATATACAATACAGCGGACGTACGTTATACGGCTGCCAGCCGTGAATATGGTTTCATGGTGCAAACTCTCTAATATCACCATTCACACACCACATACCATACAGCGGACGTACCTTATACGGCTGCCAGCCGTGAATATGATTTCATGCTGCAAACTCTCTAATATCACCATTAGTGGATCATATACCATACAGCGGACGTACGTTATACGGCTACCAGCCGTGAATATGATTTCATGGTGCAGCCCTCTCTAATATCATCATTCAACCACCATATACCATACAGCGGACGTAAGTTATACGGCAGCCAGCTATGAATATGGTTTCATGGTGCAAACTCTCTAATATCACCATTCGCACACCATATACCATACAGCGGACGTACGTTATACGGCTACCAGCCGTGAATATGATTTCATGGTGCAAACTCTCTAATATCACCATTCAACCACCATATACCATACAGCAGACGTACATTATACGGCTGCCAGCCATGAATATGGTTTCATGGTGCAAACTCTCTAATATCACCATTCAACCACCATATATCATTCAGTGTACGTACGTTATACAGCTGCCAGGCGTGAATATGATTTCATGGTGCAAACTCTCTAATATCATTATTCATACTCCATATACCATACAGCGGACGTACGTTATACGGCTGCCAGCCGTGAATATGATTTCATGGTGCAAACTCTCTAATATCACCATTCATAGACCATATACCATACAGCGGACATACGTTATACGGCTGCCAGCCGTGAATATGATTTCATGGTGCAAACTATGTAATATCAGCATTCATACACCATGTACCATACAGCATAGGTATATGTTATAGAGCTACTTGCAGTGTTTTAAATGTTATATTTATAGTATTAATGGTGTTTTGTTATGGTTGCATTAAAGGCTTTTTCAAGAACAATATCAATAACAATATACCACCACTACACACCCAATGGTTTATTTATTACATATATTTTGTATAACAGAAAGGATAGGATTCAAGAAATATGACATTATTTGAAAATTCCTCTTTGCTTGTATCTTCAAAGTGCAATAGGTGAAAAATCTGAGGAAGATTGCACACTCCACACTACAATCACTAAGAATGCCTGTGGATAAAAATAAAATCATTAAAATACTTCTCAACATTTATTGACACATATATGTCAAGAACTTATATATACATGCAAGTACCGTACCTTTTATTTTGCATATGCATGGTTGTTACATGACAAAATATGCTACAAGTATCTCTAATTCCATGATCAGTTCTATAGTGAACATTTCTGTTCTCATATCATCCTAAGCCATTTTGTTTTCTCTGGGCTTTTTGATAAGGAGTTGTGCTATCAACTTCACGGATCCTCTCATCTAATCCTTCATCCTCTATTTCAGAAAATATAATTTGCTCATGTATCTCATCATCATTACCTTCTTGTAAAAATCTTGTAGGCTGAGCAACCTTCTTCATTTCTGTGAGACCATCATGATGATGAATGACTACAGGAACAGAAGGCTTGAATTAGGCAACTTTTTTTACACATATCAGCAAATATTACTTAGATGGTACATATTTGACATAATTTGACCTACAGTTTCTGCAGTCCTTACCTATAAATCATTGTAAAGTTGCATAATTCATATAAACCATTCATATGATGAAACCAAAATAAATATGTACCCCATACAGCCCCATACTAGTTATATCGTCAAGCCAGATGCCTAACAAAATTGCCTTACTTGGAAAAATTAAAGAAAAATACCACAATAAAACTGTTAAAAACTGTTATAAGAGTAAACTCTTTCCAATTGACTGACTCATAGGTGTCAGGTCAACTCGGCCCACTAACTAACTCGGCCCAACCAACTCGGCCCACTGTCGAGACTAAGTCGGCCCACTGCCGAGGCCAAGTCGGCCCACTACCGAGACCAACTCGGTCCAACATCGGACAATGTTATTCAATGTACAAATGTGTTAAATATTTTAAAATTGGAAAGGAAAAGGTACTCTAGAAGTTGTTACTGCGATATATCGTACTGTATGATCGCTTTTTATCCAAGGTAAGTCAAGTCAAAATTTCAATATTGGCATACTAAGATTTGAAAATCGCAAGTACAGGCAAGTGAATTCACTGCTGAGAGTTGATTACTTGTATAAATATATGACATTCGAAGTTTACAGTAGTCAAACCCATGTGATTTTGGTTTTTTTTAATATAATATAATTTCACAAATTTGGGCGTGAAAGCTATTTGCCAAGAAATTACTTTTAGACAAGACATATAAACATACGATATACAAATATACGTAATAGAATAGTTAATAATTATTTACATTATTTACATCGATATATACAGTGTATCTTATTAAATACCCCGCCACCGTCACAGTTCACTGGGTGCAAGGGCCATTGACATGGGCACAAGCATGCAACAGTTGTTTGCTGGTCATTTCACCAGCAATGAATTTGTCCCAATGTTCAAATATTCTGCCTTGTAGTTTTCTGTATTTGCGCCGTTGTTGACATTTCAATTTGTGGTCAGAAACTAGACGAACCTGTACGGACACCAGACGAGATTCGCGATGTAACAGGAAGTAGAAGGGCAGGGATCCACGCCTTGCGTTGTGGTTTAAACGATGGTGCCAACCCTCAACATCATTGTTGGTTCTAACACTTCTTTTGAATATGCTCCAATTCTCCGGAGACCAAACTGTGAAATTGATCCAGGTATCACTGATGTACGCGACCAGGGCTTGGAGGACAGGTGTGGTTGCCAAAACCTTCAGCTGCTCAAACATCTGGCTAATGTGCTCGTGGGGCAAAAATGGCAAGGCCATCAACCGTCTAATGTATTTATGGGTTGAGTCGTCCTCGTTGTATGCTGTGGTCAGGCCCAACCCTTGTACTTTCCGCCAAATTGCTTGGGTCCAATGGAACACACAGCCTTAAACTGATGCACCTGGGAACACCTTTGCCACTGCCTGCCATAACGCATGCTCAAAGTCAATGACAACGCCTTTCAAGCAGAGACCATCAGCAAGGAGGTTCTTGATGGCCTTCAACACGTGCTTGTAGTCTCACCTTTTTTTGCCAGACATTAAGATAAATGCCAACGGTATCTGTTAATATGAAAAAAATAAAATACAGCAATTTAATTTGGATCTAAAAATGAGAACTTAGTTGAATGTATTAAATATATATATATATATATATATATATATATATATATGATATATGTATATTTACCTGCTTCATGTCACTGTTTTGTCTCACAAAGGCATGAATTGAGAATAGCTGCTTGAATGGATCTTTCACAACTTTGAAAGTGGCATCCATGTACCAAACCTTTGCTTGCTTTAGTAGGGCGATCATTTCTGGGGTGCTGAATATGAGGTGGCGCCGACCTCCAACCTTCACGTCTGCCTGCAGGAAATCATCTGGTATGTGGCGTTCGTCAACCTCAAACTCCAGATCAGAGGGCTCCTGTGGTCTTGTCTTCTGTCTTTTCCGGTTTGCTTGCCTAGCGAGATTACAAACCTTAGGAACAGCAGCGCACGGGGCATCTGTGAAATGGGCAACCAGAACTTCATCGGCGATAGCTCCTGCAGATCGAAAGAAGTCTTCCATGGCTTTGGCTTTCACCTCACTGATTATCTATACAAAGCAGAGATGATCAAGAAGACAAATGTTATGACATGTAGATATAAGGTGTTGACTTTTAAATATGAACATGCGAAATGACTACATGTGTTTCACCTTTGCTGCTGTACCTATGCCACTGGACGGTTGATGTGAATAGACCTGCACACCTGGAGTAAAGTCTGTGCCATGCTGCCTCACAGTGGCCAGACAATTCGTTGTCTTGTTGCGGACAGTACAACGCCAGACAATGTTGTCTTCGCCATACTTGCGTTTAACTGTGTACGAATGTCCAAGGTTGTCCACCAACTTACATTTACCGGGTTGCGTAGAGGACTCGATTTTTTCATACTCGATGACACGGATGGTGTCCTCAGGAACAATGTTGCCTGGAGCGCCATCTCTAATTGACTGTTCCTGAACTGTAGGTGGAATTTCGTAACTGCCAAAATCTTCATTTTGTGCTGAACTTTCGCGTGAGGATGGTGGAGTTGAGGAATCATTGCCCAAGTTCACTATCAGGTCAACCATTTCACTATCAACGAGTTCACTATCTGTATGAAAAAATAAATAAATCTGTATGAAAAAATAAATAAATCTTGGTTGGTTGGAATAAAAAAAATAGTGTTTCAGTTATGAAGGGAATATTTATAGCATATTTCACATACCAACAGTTGAAGAAGGTATGATGGTAGGTTGAATAGAAGCTTGAGAAGCACCAATGCCTGCCACTGTACTACCTAAAAAAAGAAAAGTTCATATGATTAAAATATTGCAGTTTTATCACAGTGTTTCTTTCTATATGAACAATAAATATCCCAATGCTTATATATATGAGCATTTTTCTAATAGTTACCATGGGGAATTCTCGAGCTTTCGGCAAGTGGCAAAAGAAATCCAGCGCTCATGTTGAGGCAATCATCACAACGCCAGTCGATATCCTGTCCATTCCTGACAGCGCTCCTGTACCGCTGTTGGGATATCCCAGTGTCGCACGTTCTGTGCTGCCATCGGTCACATCCATCGCATTGAATGCCTTCTTGTCTTGCTCGGACAGAGTTCTTGCAGCGAATGCAAAGATCTTGATCGGCCATCGTTAAGAAGAGTCTTGAAGTGTAAACTGTGGTGTCGCGAACGAGAAGTGAAAGAAAATGCTTTGAATCATCACACCTTTTTATAAACTATTACTATGATGACTCATCGGCCTCATGAATGTTTGTTGTCTCTGTGAAAACAATAACAGTGGCAAAACAACAGCATTAACAAAGGGTTATTAACAGTTACTAATTACTACCACTATGCAGATGAAACTCTGATGCTGTCAACCAACACTTCCTTGCCTCAAACCACTCCTGGCAATCACTTTGAGCACGCGTGTTTCTTTCAATTTCCTTGCACTTCTCACTGTCAACTAATAGTTTTGCCCTGATAAATTCTTCACAATTGTTGGTTTTTGGAACATTAGCACAATCTAACTCACCATCTAAGCTTGAAAGTATATGGTTTCGAACAAATACTTTCTCCAACTTGTTGCCTACACTCTCTGCCTTAGTAATTCTTTGTCTGGATGGTAAATCATTTACATTAAACTCACAGAGACAACAATCTGCATCATTCAATACCGCTGATAAATAACATGTACTTCCTGCTTCTTCTAAACCTGTCTTAAGACGATGTAAGTCACCTTTACAGGCCTTAACCGATGTGGAGCTGTATCTTTCTCTTTTGCCCTCTGGCACAGCACGCTTGCGACCTTTTTTATCCTTTTCGTACGAGTCTTGGGGGAAAATCAGATCTTCGAACAATAGAGCCTCTTGTGGAGTTTTTTTTTTAGGATTGTGCCATGTTTGTAGTTCCTGGGTACATGTTTTATCATCACGAACATCCGACAAGCCTAATTCTATGTAGTCTAAAAGTTGGAATAGAGTTGCAGCTACATGCTTGCAATGGCCCCCAGCCCCAGCTGGACATTGGCATTTAGCATAAACAACTTTCCCAGAATGCTGGTCTAGGTGTACATATACTAGGTATTGTAACTTCTTCATTTCAGCATTTACATGACACCGTACAAGAAAAATAACTGCTGTATCTCCTTTCTTTATGTTTGACTTGACTCTAAACTGTCTTACATAACCAGCTTTAAAAAGTTTATATCCACTCTTCTTATGTTTGTATGCTTCTGCAGGCTTGCAGTCAGATATTTTTTCCTTGTCAAGTACTAAATGTCTTCTAATTTTTGATAGGAAAAGTCTGGAGTGTTGTCTAAACTCTTTGTCTAACCAAATTCTAATGCTGTTAAACTTTTATCTGTCTCCGAAGAAGTGCTTGGCTAATTTTCCATGTCAAATTTTATCAATGTTAAGTTAACCTAGCTATCAATATTAAATTTGTAAGGACCTGCCTGTTTTTAATTTAAAATACCTACTGCTAAATTTAAAAAATATATATATACAAGTTAATAATTACTTTATTTATAAAAATCGCCTAAAACAAATTTATTATTTATCTAAAAACTATTAAGTTACCGATATATTAAAATTTTATACAATTTAACAACCTAAACCTACTTGTTTATTTTGACAGGAAGCGAGTTTAGCACAACAACGGAAGCAGAAATATAAAACAACAGCTCAAACGCTTTTTTACTTGGCGTTTATATAATGCGACAAAGCCGGGGCCTCAAAAAACCGGTTTAGGTTGGTTTGGTTTAGTTTCTTTTCGCGCCAAAATATTTATAAAAACATTGCATTGGAAACCATGCTGGATCGAACGAGCAACGAACATCGCGACTTGCGTTTGTCGATTTCAAGAAGGGAATAAATCCTTACAAACTGCTCGATCTTTGCGATCTTATGAGATCGAAATCTAAAAACTACACACGCATATATGTAGGAAAAATGGTGAAGACACTGGCGATTGCCGAGCGTACTCACCTGAAAACGTTGGGAAGAAGGTTCCTCTCATTCTATATATTTACCTTCGTTCTGCACCAAATCGACAATTCAATATTAAATTTCTTGTCCATTTTTCTTTCGATCTTGCTATATTTCGTCTAAAATACACTTTATAGCCTAAGTGATACATCTCGCTTATTTCAAATGTCATACTCAGGCGAAAAAGTGCTAAAAACAAGCAATTTCCCTCGCATTCAAAATGCTCGCTTATCGGCGGCCATTTCGCTTGCAAGTGATGCCTTATCATGCCTACCACTTTTCCCATGATGCATTGCTATAATGCAAATTGCCCATTGATGAAGTTAGATGTTTAACGCTGAGGGAACTCAATCACAGAATAGATAGCTTTGACTATGGGAACATGAACTGTAAAAATAAGCCAACAAACATCACCAGAGAGACGTTGAGTGGCTTAAATGACACAAAGCTCAAACAAACAGGTATAAATCCCTTTTTGCAGTTTTTTTTTGCATAATAATGGAGCTGTCATTGCAATTAAATGTATTTTTGCTAATTATCAAACAATACCTCATCAAAAATCTTTTATAAGGTAAAAAAGACAAGATAGACAGTTGTACAAAACAAATTAAGCTTACAGAAACTTCCTCTCATGATTATTCAATAGAAAAAAACATTTTAACAATACCCAAACCCATAATTCTATATTGATATTCTGAAATATACAGTGATGTTATATTTGGGTTTGTTTATAGAAAGTCACAATCCTTCCTCAATGACAAATGTATAATTATCACTTTATAGCATCGCAAACATGGTGCTTATGCCGGTTTTTGCCTAATATGATTGGTGATAAAGTGGACAGTAACCTGGAGTATTGGCAATGCTTTCTGAAGCTGTGGAACATTGTCCAAATTTGTGTTGCCCCAGCAATAACACAGGTTGATGTTGCCTGCTTAAAAGTTATTATTAGTGAGCATCACATGATGTTCAAGAGGCTGTATCCCCATGCATCAATCATACCAAAGATGCACTACTTAATCCATGTACCTGATGAGATCCTTAGGTAGAGCCAATGTCCTAATTAAGCTAATTTAATTCAGTTTTTCACTAAAATTCGCATAAGTGAAGTTCAGAAAAATATCATGAAATTTTACTGTGGAAAAGACCAATTGTTTTGTCGATAAATTGTTAAATAGTGTTCTTTTAATGGCATTTTCTAGATTTGGCCCACCACGTAATATATGGACAATGCGCTTTGAAGCTAAGCACAGTTTCCTCAAAAGTTCAATCACAAAAAATTTCAAGAATGCTCCCAAATCTGTGACATTTGCACATCAGTGGTATAATAATTTTGCATATTTCCTTTTTACTGTCTATAATAAATTGATGAAGTATTATTCTACAGTATACCCTAGGTACAACAACTTTCTGCCACCAATGCAAGTGTACATTACATAAAATGTGTTTTAATTATTATTTATCATCTAGGGAAATGTGTTGGAACCTTATGGCCTCTCCTGAGCAGACCATGACAAATTATCTTTACAGTGGTGATGTTGTCGGCCCAGGTATATTGTATATATTACATGAAGTCTACAATACTCAAATCATTGAACATTGGCTATTATCGCATTGCTGTACTCGCATTACAGAGTAGAAGGAGTCATATCTGTACAATGTGCCTTATTTCCTCAGTCAACCAGTTTTCTATTTTATATGGTTATAAAATTGTGTTTCCTATATTAGGTGGTTATGATATTGATTTAAATGGACAATATTATTCAAACATGCTAGCTGCAGCTGCTGGTTTGAATCAACTGCCACAACCATGTACCGGAAGTAGGTAAGTCAACAAGTTCAAGTAGAAGTTGTCCTTCTGGGTTTTAAAGTTTGCCATTTTACATTTGTGTGGACAATACTACTGTAGATTCCAAATTATTTGCTGAACTTATATTTGCAAAAGCGTTATGCATGTAAAAAAATATGAGTTATTCCTGTTAAGGGTAAAACATGTTGAGATTCATGGAGTCAGGTACAGGCCAGGTTGTGCATTGCGGTTACATGAGATGGATGATCTTGGTGAAAGAGACTATCCATGTTATGGAATAGTGGAAGAAATCCTAATCTGGGAAGATGGCAAGTTCTTTGTCGTAAAAGTGTTAGAAACAATTGCTTTCTACCATCACTTCATTTCTTATGAAGTAAATTTCACCAACAAATGTGTAGTTGTTGTACTTGACAACTTACCCTGGCATGGTGTTTTGAACGTTGTTAAGAAAAATGCGCAGTTGTTCGTTGTCGAAAAAGATACTGTAAATATTGAAAGCATGTAAATATTAGTATATATAAGGGAAGGAAAGTTAACCAGCTAGTTACGTCAGGGGCGTGATGAACAAGCTATGTATAGGGTTGGAGGTGTCATGTGATATTGATTCTTTTCGCACTATAGCATTTCTGGTTATATCAATATAAGTATGTATAAATCACACTTTAAGATTAAAGTGTGTTGTACGTAAAAGGGAGTGTTTTTTGAGGGTGTGCTATGTCATGGTGTGTTTTGTAACACACCAAGGTGTGTTCGATGATCTTCCACAAAGGTGTGTTTAAGACGAAAGTGTGTTTTTCTGAAATAGGTGTGTTACATGACACGCCTTGTTAATACAAACGTGTGTTGTAAAACTGTGTGTTACACCAAGATGTGTTTTGTGGCACACCAGCTTATGTTTTACGACACACCTTGGTGTGTTTTGGCACACAGTGTGGTGTGTTTTATAACACACAAGGCCATGTTTTCTTTTCCTGTGTGTCATAATGACACACCTTAGTGTGTTTAAAAACACATCTTGGTGTGTTTTAGAACACATTATTTTTTAGAGTGTGGCAGTAAAGGTATAACATTATATATAAAGCTAACATGAGCAACACATTAAAAAGTTAACTTGCTTTTAAACAACCAGCAACTGGTATTAAACGGAAAAATTGTCTTCTATTTATATACATGACAGAGTTATAGCACTATGGACATGAGTAAAACGATCATCTGGCAGTAAAAGTAAAACATTATATATGAAGCTAAAAAGAGCAACAGATTATAAAAGTAACTTGCTTTTGAACAACCAGCAACTAGTATTAAATAGAAAAATTGTCTTCTATATATGAAAGAGTTATGGCCTATGGAC